TGTCCACTCTTCTTTGCAGAACTGCTCAAGTTCAGTTAAATTTGATGGTGAGCGTTTGTGGACTGCAGTCTTCAAGTCATTCCACAGATTTTCAATGTGGTTTAAGTCTGGGCTCTAACTAGGCCATGCAAGGACATTCACCTTTTTCTCCTTCAACCACTGTGTGCTCAGTTTTGCTGTGTGCATTCAGTTTATTGTCATGTCTGAAGGTAAACCTTCTTACCATTGACAACTTTTTGGCAGAGGGCAGCAGATTTTCCTCAAGAATTTTATGGTATTTTGCCCCATCCATTTTTCCTTCTATCCTCACAAGTGCTCCAGTCCCTGCTGCAGAGAAACACCCCTATAACAGGATATCACCACCTCCAGTGCTTGAAGTGGGCCGGCACTTCTATATTTTAGCCTTTAGAGTACCTGCACTTTTTTGTGCGTACCAGCACTTGACATGTTGACGGTACTCAGAGTAAAAGCGTAGGGTCCGGGTGATTATATGATCCCATATATGATTAGAAAGGACACTATATAAATCACACTACCCAGGATCACCTCTCATCTCGACCAATCACGTTAATGAATGCAAGCGGAGTGTATGCGGCGCGAGAGCATGTCAGGGGAGGCGCGCAGAGTACTAGAATAATAATTAATTATTGATTATTAATTTGAATCTGTACTTTATAACGAAAATAATATCTCAAAATTAAAAGAAGCAGGCTTTTGCGATCACATAATTTTAAACCGGTAAACTCCTGGAAAGTCCAATGATCCAGTAAACAAATTCAAACAGTAAGTTCAAAACAGCGCTAATGCAGAGAAAACACGGCTGATTTCATCAGCGATTGCGGAGAGAATAGTGACTTTCGTCCAGATGTCAGTAAAATTACTCTTTTCAGCGTGTATTTGGCTTAAAAGCAAGAGTGTTTTATAATGAACGCTGATTATGCGGTGGTCAGAGATTTAGCTATTCTGAATGGATCCGTATAGTAGTAAAGGCAGGCGATTTAGTGGTCTTTGGCGTCTCCCTGTGCTCTTGTTTGGTATCACAGCTTGACACAGCTAATTTGTATTGAAAACTTTTATTTAATTATTGATTAATTGTGGCACTATACATACATTGTAAATTATTAAAAAGTACTTATTTAATATAAATAACTCAATAAAAAAAATTAATAAATAACTGGCACTTCTTTTTTTCCACTTCAAGCACTGATCACCTCCATGCTTTACTGTAGGAACGCTGTTATTTGGATGGTGAGCTGTATTGGATTTCTGCCAGACATATTGTTTGGTGTTGAGGCCAAATAATTTAATTTTAGTCTCATCTGCTTCGGAATCTTCAAGGTTTTGGCAAAGCTCAGTCGTGACTGAAAGTGGCCTTTCTTGTGGAGTGGCTTTTTACTTGCAACCCTCCCATACAAGCCACATTTGTGGAGAATTTGTGATATTGTTGTCACATGCACACAGTGACCACTCTTTGTCATAAATTCCTGTAACTGCTTCAGAGTTGCTATAGGCCTCTTGGTAGCCTCTCTGAGCAGTTTCCTCCTGGCTCTTTCATCCAGTTTGGAGCGACGTCCTGATCCAGGGAGGGTCTGTGTTGTACCAAATACCTTCCACTTCTTAATAATAGACTTCACTGTGCTTCTAGGCATTGATAAAGCCTTTGAAATTTTTTTCATATCTCCAGACTTGTGCCTGTCAGTGTTGCCAACTGCTTTCAATTGAAAGTAGCTAAAACTGGTAGCTAAATGTCACTAGATGACATCACAATGGCAAATTCACTGATCTATATAAAGGTGAACATAGATCAGTGGGCAAGATGAGAACTTAGATAAGGTTTGTCCAAGAAGTTGCTATATTTGTCCCTAAACGTTTGAAAAAAAAAGTCTCAAAAGGGGCGGGGAAGTCGCTAAATCTAGCTACAAAGTAGCTAAATTGGCAACACTGGTGCCTGTCCACAACTTTATCCCGGAGATCTTTTGACACTGTCTTGCCACCCATAGTTGACTGATTGCTTCAGTTGCACTACCAAGGACTGAAATGGTCCAGGAAAGCTCTTTTCATGCTGAGCTAATCAAAATGACCACAGCTGATCACAGTTCAAAGTCAGATGGCTTTTTGTGCCATTGAGAAGGTGATTAGCTACACCTGATTGAGTTTACAAGTCATTTTTAGGAGGGGGTGATCCTTTTTCCAACTTTTTTTATTTATTTATTATTTTCAGACATGTTGGTGTTATATCTTTCACTTGGATGTTATAAGTTGCACTGAGTAAATACAGCTGGATAAAACAAAAACTGTGTCCATCTTTATTTCAGGCTGCAAAGCAACAAAATGTGATTATTTTAAAGGGGGCTGATTCTTTTTTATACCCGCTGTATATATAATATTGGGGTTGGTAAGATTGTTTTTAATGCATTAGAAAGAAGTTTTTAATGCATTAGAAAGAAGTCTCTTCTGCTCACAAATCCTGCATTTATTTGATAAAAAATACAATATTATTGTGAAATATTTAAAAAGACTATATTTTTATAGAAAAAATATTTAAAAATGTAATTTATTCCTGTGATGCTGTCACAATTCACTCGGAGCACGGAACGAGGAGACACGGCGATAGCTTTCAAACCACAGTCTTTTAATAATCCAAACACAAGGGGTACGTAGGAGACACAGGAACACATAGAATGACGTTCAAGGACCAACAAACACTAACTGAAAGGACTGGGGCTTTTAAACACTGGGTGATTGGGAAAACACAGGTGCAAGGAATGACTAATTAAAAGGAACACGGCACACCTGGGGAGGGAAAACACAACACAAAGAGTCCAGGGGCATGACAGATACAAAGTTGAATTTTCAGCATCATTACTCCAGTCTTCAGTGTCACATGATCCTTCAGAAACCATTCTAATATACTGATTTGATGCTCAAGAAACATTTCTTATTATTGTCAATGTTGAAAATATAATTTTGACCCATACAATGTATTTTTGGCTATTGCTACAAATATACCCCAGCGACTTAAGACTGCTTTTGTGCTCCAGGGTCACATATAGTGTGTTAATTTGTATGCAATTTATTTTTCAAGTTAGTATTAGTATGCGACACACAAATGAGTTTGTGACCTTATGTGCTGGGAAATATCATGTGCAGAGCAGAGACGCAGGGCGGCAGAGGTGAGACTCTTCAGCTCAGAGGACATGCTGCTCTGCACTTCTGACAGTTCTGGCAGCCAAGACACATGCTTCCTCTTTCCCACTGGCTTTCTCAGCTGTTCCCTTCTTCTCGGACCTGGGATTATTAACCCACAAAAAGGTGGGAATCAATGTCAGATTGTCACACTTCTCGGGAGGCAAGGAGCAAGGAAACACAGAGATAACTTCAAATCACAGTCTTTAATGATCATAAGGGGAACGTAGGAGACACTGGAACACAAGGAATGACGTTTGAGGACCGACAAACACTAACTGAAAGGACTGGGGCTTATAAACACTGGGTGATTGGGAAAACACAGGTGCCAGGAATGTCTAATTAAAGGGAACACGGCACACCTGGGGAGGGAAAACACAACACAAAGAGTCCAGGGGCATGACAGATACAAAGTTGAATTTTCAGCATCATTACTCCAGTCTTCAGTGTCACATGATCCTTCAGAAACCATTCTAATATACTGATTTGATGCTCAAGAAACATTTCTTATTATTGTCAATGTTGAAAACAGTGTTGTGCTTTTTTTCAGGATTCTTTGATGAACAGAAATTAGAAAAGAAAATGAGAAATCTTTTGTAACTTTATAAATGTCTTTACTGTCACATTTGATAAATTTAATGGATCAATGCTCAATAAATGTATTTCTTTAATTAAATACCTTTCTTTTAAAAAGTTTTACTGACCCCAAGGTATAGACAGTCTGGGTAAGGGTGCAAAAAACCTACTTCAATATTTTATTGGTTTGATCAATGTTAGAAAATTCCCTCACAGATCTCCACTGAATATGTAGGATTTGTTCACACCACACTCAAATTCAATTTACCTTTAAAATCAGATATTTGGGACTGACTGCACGCACCATCATTCCGTAAATGATGAAATGTGATTCATTTGTTTAGACAGTGCTGTCTGAACATCTCTGGTGTATCTTATACAGTGCAGTGATGTAGGCGTCAACAAGATGCCAAGAGACCTTCTGATATACACCTGAGAGTCGTGGGAAGAGAGGACTGAATTTCTATCATGACATCTTTGTTGTAGTGATGAACTTACAAGTTGCATGTGATTACAAGAGACATTTTATGCATTCATGCATATACTGTGTCCAAAACAGCTGACTTGTTCATTCATTCACTACAAACTACTGTACATTGTGGAAGTCCCACAGTAAACTGAATGAAAATTAGCATACTGTACACCTTGAATGATGTATATACGCGTCATATCCCAAAAAAACGCAAAATACACATATTCAAAATAATTTCATTTTAAATCAGATTTTAAACTATGGAAACTAATTTCACACTTTGTTAAATAATAATTATGAGATAATTATGACATAAAAAGTCATAAATATGCCATAAAAAGTTAAACTTTTATCATCTAATTTCAACAGTCAATTATGACTGTCATATAATATTTATCAGAAATGGGCTTCCATATTTTTTTTTAAAATTATATTATATTATCATATTTCACTGCTTGTACCTTTACATGGACGTGTCTCAAAGACTTGGTGAGGGCAGCTGTCCTGATTCTCCAGCACTTGTATGACCACAGCCTGTGAGCGTGCCTGACGGCCCACCGTCTCAAAACTACGTCCTTCCAGACACGTCAGCTGACAGGAACTCCACTGCGACCACTCTGTAAGGTGACAGTCTCCTGTAGATGACAAATCACATATAACAACTTCAGTTCTACAGTTTAAATGAATACCATGTTAATTTAATACTTATGAAGGAAATCCAACGGTCCAGTTAGTAAGCATCAATGCACAAAAAGGAATGCTATACCATGAATCCAAATTTGAATACTGGGATGTACTTTGAAGCGTGTAGTAAGTACAAGATTCTTGGGATATAGTACCGCAACATAAAACAACAGACCTCTTTGTAGCATTCTGCTAGTCAGTGTCGTTATTGTTAACTAAAACTAATGCTATTAAAAAATAATTTTTGTTAATTAAAATAAATCTGAAGTAAATTAAAAAAATAAACACTTAATCTAGAAGTGTTGCCTTGGCATCTAAATAAAATACAAATAAAGATAAAGATAAATATATATATATATATATATATATATATATATATATATCTCT